GTATGTATGTATGTATGTGCGTGTGTATGTGTGTATGTATGTGTATGTATGTATGTGCGTGTGTGCGTGTGTATACTATACTCAACAGGTATGATTTTACAGACATTCATCATCACCGTCGTCATCTTCGTGTTTCATTTTTTTCCTTCCTACCACAATCATCATGTTTATTTGCTACGATTATTATTATTATTATTGATAAATATTATTATTTATTCTATTATTATTAATACTTATATTATTATTATTATTATTATTATTCATCGCTTCGTGTTGAACAAAATATCGTAACTGTTGCTATGGTCGTTATTATCATCATCATCATCACCATCATCATCATCATCACCATCATCATCAGGAGCAGAAGCAGTAGAAGATGATGCATTATCATCCCTTCGCTTGCACCGTCTATAATTTATACCATTATTCTCGTCGTCGTCATCATCATCATCATCATCATCACTGTTACCATCATCATCATCATCACCCTCCTGACCTCGTCATCGGTTCCGTCAACCAATCCCGACGCTCCGTTTGTGGTCCATGCCGGAAGTGGTGACTGCACACTTTGTAGATGTATGTTTTTCAGTTCAGGAGATACAAACCTGTATTTGAGGGTTTGTATGCAGCGGTGCGTAGGTACGTATTTATGTATGTATGTGTGTACGAATGTATGTATGTATATACGAAACGAAACGAAACGAAATTTTACTGAAAGTAAAACAGTAAAATTTCTGGGTGTATTTCTAGATCGGAAACGAAATATCGTATATACGAATGTATGTAACGCATGAATCTACACCTACCTACCTATATACCTACCTACCTACCTACCTACCTACCTACCTACCTACCTACCTACCTACCTACCTACCTACCTACCTCAAGCTTTCCTGCCTTGCTTTCCTTACAGGCGATGACAGTCTACTGTTCTTCATCAGATGCTGCCTTTGCTCCATGTATTCCATTCTACGTTTGTAAGACGCCCTACGTTCGTGCGACCATTTCAGCCAGGCTGACTGTGTTGGCTTAGAGCTGGTTGCTGTGTGTGTTTGTGTTTGTGTGTCGTGTGTGTGTGTGTGGTTTGTGTGTGTGTGTGCTCTGTGTTCTGTTGTGTGTGTGTATGTCGTGTGTATGTGTGTGTGTGTCCTGTGACTTGTGTGTGGTGTGTGTTTTTTTGTGGTGTAATCAAAAGTTGTGATAATATGTGACAATATTATGGTTGGTTGAAATGCCGATGATAAAACAGAGTAAAGGAAGGAAGAGGGAGTGAGAATAAAAGAAAAATTTGAAAGAAAGAGAGATAAAAATAGAGAGAGAGAGAGAGAGAGAAAGAGAGAGAAAGAGAGAGAGTACGCCACTATAGAGTACATGTCTTTAAACACGTATCGTAAATCAGCATCTGATGGTGTAATTGCGTTTATTCAAATGAGCAGAAAATTATCATCGTCGTCATCGTCATCATCATCAACAAAAACATAATTATCATCATCATCCTTATCATCATCATCCTCATCATCATCATCATACCAGAGTCAGTGGCAGTAGCTTCAGAGTCGTTTGGCGTCGACTCGCTACCCATTTTTTTGGTCACCTGACTTCCGCTTTCGTTTTCGTCGGAAACATTAATTTCCGGCAGATTATTAATCTTTGGTTGTTGTTGTTTTCGATATATTTGTTGTTGTTGTTGATGTAATTTATCAAATTCTGGATGATATTGAAGATGTTGATGACGAGGCGAGGGATTATAAATTTTCCGAAGCTGTTGTTGTTGTTGCTGCTGTTGCTGCTGCTGTTGTTGCTGTAGCTGCTGTTGTTGTTGTTGTTGTTGACGTTGTTGTTGTTTGTCGCTCATTGGTGTTGCACAGTTTATGGGCGTTTGGTTTTGGCTGGCTGGAAAAAAACTAAATTTTGGGTCAGAAATAATGTTGTTGTTGATGTTGTTGTTGATGTTGTTGTTGTTGATGTTGAGATTGTTGAAGTTGTTGATGTTGTTGATGTTGTTGATGTTTGAAATGACAGCATGATCCATTGAGTTGAAGTTTTTAACTCTCAATGGATAATGATTTCTCTCGGTGCTGATGTTGTTGTTGATGTGATTTTTATGAATGTATGAGTTGTTGTTGTTGTTGTTGAGGATGTTATTGTTGTTGTTGGTGTTGTTGTTTAAAACTTTGTTAACGCTGTTAGTTGCGTTTCTATTGATGTAAACTAAATTGTTGTTGTTGTTGTTGTCATCATTATCGTTGTTGATGTTGATGTTGTTGTTGTTTATGTCGTTTATGTTGTTGTTATTC